TAATAACCTGCTAAGACAAGAACACTTTGAATTTCTATCACATTAGTAGGCCTTTCCCATTTTACCACTGCCTCTTTTTTCTGTGGGTCCACATAAATTCCTTTCGCTGATATGACATGTCCCAAAAATACAACTTTATCAAGCCAAAATTCACATTTACTGAATTTAGCATACAACTGTTTATCACGTAGAGTCTGTAAAATGATTCTGAGATGCTCTGTGCGCTCGAGAGTACACTAAAATATCATCAATGAATACAATCACAAATCTATCTAAATATGGGCGGAACACAAATGCTGCTAGTGCGTTGGTCAACCCAAATGGCATCACAAGAAATTCAAAATGACCATACCTTATTCTGAAAGCAGTTTTTGGCACATCATTGTCCCTGATTTTAAGTTGATGATATCCAGAACGCAAATCAATCTTTGAAAATACTACAGCACCGTGAAGCTGATCAAACATATCATCAATACGTGGCAAATGATATTTATTGCAAATTGTCACTTTGTTCAATTGTCAGTAATCTATGCACAGTCGCATGGTGCTATCTTTCTTTTTCACAAACAAAACTGGTGCTCCCCACGGAGATACACTAGGTTTGATGAAACCTGTGTCTACCAATTCTTGTAACTGAACCTCTAGCTCTTTCAATTTTGCTGGTGCCATTCTATAGGGTGCCCGTGAAATAGGTGCAGTTCCCATAATTAGATCTATAGTGAACTCTATATCTCTGTCTGATGGTAAGCCTAATAATTCTTCTGGAAATACATCAGGAAAGTCCTTGACCACTGGGATGTTTGCAAGTTTTAGTTTGCTAACATTTGTATCAATTACATGAGCCAAATATGCATGGCAGCCCTTGTTGAGTAATCTTCTAGCGTCAATAGCAGATATCACACAAGACGGTAAAATTCTGCGCTGTCCATTGAATATAATTTCAGGCTGTCTAAACACAACCTTCTTTCGGAAACAATCAACTGAAGCTCGATTTGTTGCCAAAAAGTCCATACCCAAGATGACATCGAAATCATGTATGTCAAGAGGCATTAAATTTGCCTTGAGCTCGTTCTCCTTTACCTTAATCCCAGAACCTCGATATATATTGTTTGCTAATAGTGATTCTCTTATTGGTGTATTCACTACCAAACAACTACCTAGAGGTTCTGACTTTTGATTCGCATATAAAGCAAATGCAAATGACATAAAGGAATGTGTAGATCCAGGATCAATCAAAATACGAGCATTTCTATAAAAAATAGACAACATACCCATGATAACATCTCGTGACTCCTCTACCGCCTGCTAAGTCATAGCAAAAACTTTACCCTGGGTCTTCGGTCGTCCTGCCTGTCCTTTTGATTTTGTACCACAACCGCTCACAATATTGGACTGGGCCATACTATTTGCACCTACTCTGTTAGCTGAATCATCTCCCTGAGTTTGATTTTGTCTTGTACTACCAGCACTCTGCTGAGAAACATCCTCTGTGCCATGCCACCCTTTTGGAATACAACTGGGCAATTCCTTTTCAGTTGCCCTTCTTGGCCACAGCGATATGAAACACCAACTCCCTTGAACTTTGAACACTCTCCAGGATGAGATCTTCCATATAATTAGCAAGGAGAAAATCTAGCGCTAGTAGAACTCTCTCCCTGTCTCGGATTAAATGATGGCTGGGAAAAACCTGAGAATAAGTACGACTGGCCAATGGCTACTATATAGTACTGGAACTGAATCTACGACCCTGACTTCCTCGAAATGTAGATTTGAATTGACCTGAACTAGACACACCAGGTCGAAATCCTCTACTGTCCCTCCGTGGTGGTCTATGGCTAGAAGCACTTGCCATTGTCCGACTACCGCTTGCTCTGAACATTGTTTATTCTCTACCACTTGGCCTATTAGAAATGCTCTTTTCTACTTTCAAAGCTGATTCCACTAATTTACCAAATTCATTCAGCCTGCAGCTGTTACTATTGATCGAATCTCTTCAATTAACCCATTTTTAAATCGTCTACATTTATCAATTTCGTTGCTTACCAGAACTTGGGCATACTTTGAAAGTTCAATAAATTTTACTTGATATTCTGCAACTGTCATCTGCCCTTGTACTAGTTTCAAAAATTCCTCCTGCCTTGCATCTTTATAGGACCGAGGATAATAGGCATCATAAAAGATACTACGAAAATCTGTCCAACTAATGATGGAAGGGTCTAGATATGTGCTTCGTACCAACTGCCACCAATCATACGCACCCTCCTCTGATAAGAAGGTGGCAAGACACAACTTCCGATCGTCTGAGCAACCCATAATGCCAAATACCCTCTCTATCTTGGTCATCCATGCCTACGCAACTGCAGGATCTACCGTGCCAGCGAACACTTTAGCCCCTAACTTTGTAGCCATTTCAATACTAAAATCTCTGTCAGTATTATGCATAGCAGATGTAACGACAACAGCAATTCTTTCAACATCAATAGGATCAGTTCCAATCACATTTCCCTGTTCCCATTGTTCAGAAGGCTGGTGAATTGATTCTTCTACCCTCTCGAACTCCCTAGGTTCATCTCCATCAGGAGCAATGTGAGACTGGGGCAACATATCATGGAGCCTTCGATTTTTGCCACCCCAAGGCATGACTCATCTACAGTTATGCATGATATGCTAAACATCGGAATGTACATATGTACAATGCAAACCCATGAACTCTAATGCATGCTCTGATACCATATTGACAAACCCCGCCCGTGTAACACCACTAGATCTAGACATGGTATGTGCCGATGAGAGATACCAACTAAAAGTCGGACCCACCATCAAGGCTACTACAAATACAATATATCACTTTTTATACATCATTTTTCTAATAAAATTTCAGCATTATCTCCTCTGTAAACAGGACTAACCAACCTATGATCAATTTCACACAAATTCCAAACTATAGAACAACGCAATAAAGATAAGCCGAAATCTCAACCTTTACCAAGAAATAAAATGAAATATACATATGGATACAAAATACATAGTGAGCCCCATAACTATCTACAAGTGATACAAAATCACAATTTAGACATGAACATACGTCGCAAAACACTGACTACATGTTCTATAAAGTGCGTCATACTAACAAACTCTGTCGTGTGGCTCTGACTCCAAAATCAAGGCTGAACTCCAAAAGATGTCCAGATTCTCAACTGCTCTCTAATAAGGAAAAACGTGAAAAAACATATGAGTTGATAGCTCAGTGAGTGGAGAAGTTTAAAATAAATATACTTTTTCATTTATATATTTTTATTGAAAATCAAATTCATATCATTTGATAATTCACAAGCTACCATCAGGTAATTATAGCAAAAAAGTGAAATATTCACATAAGATCCTAAAATATCATCTTAAACTCATGATATGAACATTAGCTAATAATCATGCTATAATCTCATCACATCAAATGTGCTGAAAAATCCACCAAAAATATACCTTCTGACTGAAATATATAATCCGCCCCTCGGGCTAATAACTTTCGCCACGGGTCTTTGGCCCCCTTAGGGAAAGAAAGCTGGTCTTAAAGACCTCTCATAATCAATTCTAGAACACTGCCAAGGCTCCTCTGTGAACTATATATACACGATCAAGACAAATATCAAGTCAAGACCTTCCGTGTAAGATAGAACACGGCCAATGCCCTTCTGTGAACTAGAAGAAGTATATAATTATGTGTACTTTTCTGGTCGATCTCAATATTGCATGTCTCACATACCAAACAAGTCTCAATATCACATATCTTACATACCAAGTCACAAATATGCCATAAATAATCTTTGATATTTCACATGTATCATAATAAAAGAAACTTCCGTAATAACCATGCAATTTGAACACATAATTGCATATAATTGCACATACTTTAACAATATACTTAATTTATAAGTATTTTAAAAATATTTATATTTTTACACTCACAGAACTATGTACACCAAAATCAACTTGATTGGTACGCTGTTCCGATATCTGTATCGTCACCTGAATATGATATGATTTTCAAATCAATAATTAACTTTAAAAAATTTCATTAGTTAAATAGGCGATACCCAAACTTAATTATTTCACGTTTAGGTGATTTCTAAAGTCTCTTTAATTACTAAAACTAATTTTTCTTTCATTTTACTCAATTTCATAGTTTATTATACTTAACCCCTTCAATAAAATTGAATTTAATCTAACAACCTAACAACTATAAAATCAAGCATAACCTTTCAATAAGTAACTTTTACTTACCTTTCAAAATTGAGAAATTCAAGCCTAATAGTATAACCCATTTAATTCCTAACACGTTGGCGAGTTTTCCCTTTTTTTCCCCATCTTTTTCCTTTCTCTTTCTCTCTCTTCTTCTTCTCTTTATTGATCTCATTATTTTATATATTTTTTTGTTTGACCTTTTTTTTTTTTTTCTGAAACTTAATGCATTACATTTACTATGTTGATGTAATACAATAATATATCGTAAATTAGGTAATTTCCCTTTCTTTGGTCTTGTACATGTATATATAATTTTTCCTAGTGAAGGAGATACACAGAATTTCCAGAATAATTTCAGAAACTCTCCATTGCAAATCACGATTGACAACTGTTCTAAAAGATAGTGCATAGGTTGCCTTAGATGTGAGGTTAAAAAAAAAAAAAATAAATAAAAAAAATACAAAGGCCTTGCATATGGACGAGGCATAATAAAATGTCTAACTATATCTTGACTGCCTGATGTTGGCCTATTTGCCAAAAGGTGCGTGCCCTTTTATTTATTATTTTTTATGCAATTATTTTTAGCTTTATAAGGTTGAATAAATTAAGCTCCTGTTCGGTGAAGATTAAAAATCAGATTTTTAATAAATTTTTGGTTCAAAAGTTAATCTACATGTAACATGATTGTTTGGATATTTGCTTATGATAACATAATATTGTTTGCTTATGTTGACATTATATTGGACCCTACTACATCGTGTTTCATGTGATGGAGCTCTTTAACCCGAGAAGGAAAATTATAGATGGAAGAAAATACTCTTCAAGTCTGATAAAAACGTTCATAAATTTCCACAACTCCACCGTGCATCATACAGTCCCCCAAAACAACCCATTGAACTGTCCTTTCATTGGAAATACGTAGTGAACTTCACAGTCGACGGGGAGAAAATTAAGGAAGACAATGAAAAATCCTCATGTTCTACTTATTCCATTTCCAGTACAAGGCCATTTGCCTCCCTTAATGGAAGTTGCACTCCATTTAGCAAAATATGGCTTCAAACTCACATTTGTGAACTCTGAGTTCATTCACGAACGAGTTACCAAATCAATGCCGGAGACCGACAACGAATGAGAACTCATAAAAATGGTTTCGTTACCTGACGGGTTAGAATCCTCCGATGACAGAAGTGATCCGGGAAAATTGTGGGGATCAATTATTAGGGTTATGCCGGGAGAGCTAAAGGTTCTTATTGAACGGATTAATAATTCTCAAACTGATAAAATCAGTTGTATAATTGCCGATGCCAGCTTGGGTTGCGCTATGGAGGTTGCAGAGAAAATGGGAATCAAGAAAGTAGCTTTCTGGCCAGCGGCAACAGCGATACTCGCCTTGGGCTTCAAAATTCCGACCCTTTTTGAAATAGGAATCATAGACAGTGAAGGTTATTACAGTTTTAAACATAAATAGTCTTCACCACTTTGTTCTAAACCCTGTTAATTTTTATTTTCAACATCAATCAGCTCAATTTTCCCTCTAATTTTATATTCTAAGACCAGAAAAAAATTCAATTAATGGAATTTTTGTCATGTTCTCTTCCCTAGAAGATATCCCAAGAAAAGGGTCCGGTTTATCCATGAACTTAGAGCATGTTTGGCTACCCTTAAGTGTGTGGCTTCTTTTCTAGCATTTAAACTTAGTCAAACATGTTGTTTTCGACATGCTGGTAGTTAGTCTATTGTACCACCTAAATATTCTCTGAAATTCATTCAGCGAGTCCAAATTAATAGTCACTCATTTGATTTAAGGAATGCTATTGAGTATAACCGTAGAGTGTGTCCTTAATTAATTATTCAATTCAATTGTAATTTTTATGATAAAATTTTTTTTTTTAGTTGAAGAGTATTTACTTATGGTGGTCCTGTACATTCTAGCTGATCACAACTTTATTAGCTGATCACAACTTTATTGACAGTGAAGTCCACAAAACATTTCAGAATATGGCTATAATTCAAGGACAAACTAAGTTTCTAAACAAAAAAAATTTGTATTCTATATTAATAATATTGCTGAACTTTCTATGCAGGAACACCAATGAAAAACGAGATAATTCAGCTTTCACAAGCAATGCCTACCATGAAGACAACAGATTTCTTTTGGAATTGTTTGGGCGATGAAGCGGGACAGAAATTGTTCTTCAAACTCATGATAAAAATATGCAGTCGGCTAAATCGCCAGAAAGGTTAATTTGCAACTCGTCTAATTGGTTAGAGCCTGGGACATTTGCTTCATTTCCAGACTTTTTACCCATAGGACCTCTTCTGGCAAGTAATAGGCTTGGAAAATCAGCTGGCAACTTCTGGCAACAAGACTCAGGTTTTCGAGAAACAATATTAAGCTATAAAAAAAATAGAAAACATATGTTTATTTAAATTATATTTTTAACATGCCCCTCGAAAACTGAATTATTTTTTTATATACAAGACCTTGACTCTTGCATTAGTTTAATAAATTAATATCCCCGTTTATTCTAATACGATGTTAAACCATTTCATCTAAAAAACTAAGATTTAAGAATAGGGACAACATATTTATTTGAATTTTGTCTTCAACAGGTTACCTCTTGTGGCTTGATCAACAACCACGCAATTCTGTTATATATGTTGCATTTGGAAGTTCCACAGTATTTGATCAGAATCAATTCAAAGAACTTGCTCTCAGCCTTGAACTCGCCAAAAGACCATTCCTGTGGGTCGTGCGAGAAAACACAACTGAAGATGTCGACAATGCATATCCAATAGGGTTCCACGAAAGAGTGCGTAATTGGGGGCAGATAGTGGCTTGGGCACCGCAGCAAAACGTCCTATCCCATCCTTCCATTGCGTGTTTCATTAGCCATTGTGGTTGGAATTCCACCATCGAAGGCATAAGCAATGGAGTCCCTTTTCTGTGTTGGCCGTATATCTTGGATCAAATATTTAATCAGAGCTACATTTGTGATCGTTTGAAAATAGGATTGAAATTGAATAAAGATGACAGCGGAATTATTAGGCATGAAGAGATTAACAACAAACTAGAACAAGTTTTGAGTGATGAAAGATTTAAAGAATTGGCATTGGATCTTCAATCAAATGTCCTAAACAGCGTTCGAGAAGGAGGGAGCTCTTATAATAATTTCAAGGATTTAGTAGCATGGATTAAGGATTGAAAAAAGATTTTGTTCTAGATATCCTACTATTATCATCACATTAAATATGTATCCTTGGCATTGATAGTATTGAGTGCAAGTTTGGTTAATCTTACGTAATTTTCAAAATAATATTTTGTGTTTATTAAATTCCCGTATGGTTAAGTTTCAATTTTCAATTTTGAGCTTTTAGTGTATTTTCAATTTTCTATTTTGATGATCTGTTTTAAAATTATTAAAAACACGTTTGATTGCTCATTTTGAAAAATTATTTCTTAAAATAAAAAATTTAAAAATACATCTAGCTTGAAAATTTTTTTTATCAAAATTTTTTCTAAGAAATTTGATTATTCAATAAAAATAGAATAATTTTATGTTAATATATTATCAATATACGCCACTGTTTGGTGGATATTAGAATTTGATTTTTAGCTGAATTTGATGAAAGTTGATAAAATGTGTGGTTGAAAAATTGTGGGTCCTATGAAATGTGTGGTTAAAATAAATTGTCGACTTTAACTTAGATTAAAATTAAAATCTAGGTCTTAATGAGGCAAAATTTAATTATTGAATTTATTATAGTTATTTATACTCGTTTTATCGTTGTTCGGTATTTTTCTTATTCATTCTTTGTCAAAATGAGATCTTTAACTATATAATTATTGTTTAAAAAGTCTTACTAATGGGGACTTGTAAAATAATAGATAGAAGTTGAATGACTATTTGGTCTTATTTATAAATTTAAATGATCTTTCCACTTATTCAGAAGCGTATATTTTATTTCGATTTTAATTCTTATTGGAAACTTACATATAGAAATCATTATTACAATATATTTACACTTGATCTCTAATTCTGTCGTGTTTTTCTTTTTATTCTCTTAGAGCATAAAAAGAACATATATGAAATAGTAAGAGATATTGAAATATATTGTTTAAAAAAAGAAAAATAAAAAGAGACCTCGTATCATTAGTCAATTTTTCATAGTTCTGAGTGACTTAACAATAAAGAAAAAAGATTAGTGTTTGGTTTTTCTGTTATGTACTTCAGATCATTGTTCTCAAAAATGGTGCATAGGAGAGCTTAGGTGTGAAGTGAAAAAAATGCTTGCATATGGATGTACACTTATCTCAGTCATTAAATTGGAGCAATTATTGTTATTTTAAATGAATTGAGGCTTAATTTTTTATATATTTCGTTTGTTATGTGCATCTTGATGAAAAACGATGGAAATGGATAGAAGGAGCGAAAAATTGGCCAAAATGAATTAAATCCAAAATTTGGGGACTAAATCACAAAGAGCTTATAGTTGATTTGGACCTAATATCGATGATTGGAGAATGTTTGTGGTCAATTAAATGGAATTGGAAGATAGAGGAGCAAGAAGATATCAAAGTGAAAAATATGCTTATTTTTCGTTACAAGAAAGAGTCTAGCATGGGATTCAATGTCGATTAACATGAGAGATTGAAGATTCAAAATTAGAGTTGAAGACTAACGAAGAAGAAATTGATTTTTCACTTTTCAATCATTGTTTTCAATTTTGGGTAATGTTTTTTTAAATCTTTTTGTGTGATTTATTAAATAACATGTTAGGCTAATTCTTTTCTTGTATTGAATGATATGAACTCTATTGTTTATTTATTTTAATTCAAGACTAGTATTTTAGTTTAATTCTTGCATTTCTTGATTAATTTTGTATATCCATTGCATTATTTAATTGTTTGGATTACAATTAGATAATTAATTGCTTGTTATAGGAGACTCACAATAAGTTTTGACATATGTGCAATAGATGTGAGGAATAACATTTATCACTTGTGCAATCATATAGATAATCTAAAATTTAATGCATTCTAACTATTCTAATTCGAGTTAAGAATAGATTCAAGTCGTGGCTAGGATATAATTAATTTGTCTTGAAAAAGAAAGTTAAATACATTAACTTTGTTGATTGTCAAGAACGCATGAACTGAATTAGATTACAAATTAAGAATTGAAATAAATCACAATAAGCAGAGTCGAAATTCAATACATCCATTCATAATTTGATAAAAAAAAATCAAACATTTCTTGCTTTCTTAGATTAATTTAGCAAAAATAAAATAAAAAATCTCTCTTTATTTCACATAATTCGAATTCCATACTTAATTAATAAACTTGAATTGAAATTTATTCTCTGTGGTGCGATACTTGTAACTTACTCAAAAATATTATTTGTCAACGATCCCGTACGCTGGCGAATTTCGTACACACAATGGACAAGGTACAATAAAATAGCTAATTCTATTTTGACTGCTTAATGATGGCCTATGTGTAAGAAGGTGTGTGCCTTTCATTTATTATTATTTTTTATACAATTACTTTTTATTTTTAAATAAACTAAATAATTAAATAAAAGAAAGAGTTAATAAATAAAAGGTAGGAAGTAAAAATTCACATCACAACACCTAAAAAAAAATTATAATTACACAATTTCTAATGCATTAATTTACTTATGAAAAATTGCAGCAGCGGTCTCTAACCTTTTCATTTTTTCAGACTTTACCCTAACCTTCATTTTGTGTCAGCGAAGGTCCTTAACCTTTCATAAATATTCGCCTGAAATCTATCTGGATGGAAACCATTCAAAATACCGTCATTTGACCAAAAAAATTCCTTGAATCATCTAAGATCTCCACGATTTTATTGGACGTTGATACCTTTTTTGATGGTATTTTTGGACATTTTATTGGATGTTGATTCCTCAATTTTTCGATCAACTAAGGTGTTTTGGACGATTTCCGTCCAGATGAACTTCGGGTGCATATTTATGAAAGGTTAGAAACATTCACTGACACAAAATGAAAGTTAAGGATAAAGTCTGTTGGACCTAATATCGATGATTGGAGAATGTTTGTGGTCAATTAAATGGAATTGGAAGATAGAGGAGCAAGAAGATATCAAAGTGAGCTCATTGAGGGACCAAAATGCAATAAAAGAAAACTTTTCATAACGTTGCTTGCGCGCAGGCCGATTCTCCTGTGCGCGACACCCTATAGTCCACTTACTAAGAGCAAAATCAGTGAACGATGTGCGCGCAATAAATATACGGTGTGCTCGAGGGGCCACTTCTGGGCCTAGACGACCAATTGTCATTTTTTGACCTAAAGTCTTATGGAAATCAAATTAAATCTACTATTTGAGCTATAAGGGACGGCTAGAACGTGAAAGCACATAATATGCTTATTTTTCGTTACAAGAAAGAGTCTAGCATGGGATTCAATGTCGATTAACATGAGAGATTGAAGATTCAAAATTAGAGTTGAAGACTAACGAAGAAGAAATTGATTTTTAACTTTTCAATCATTGTTTTCAATTTTGGGTAATGTTTTTTTTAAATCTTTTTGTGTGATTTATTAAATAACATGTTAGGCTAATTCTTTTCTTGTATTGAATGATATGAACTCTATTGTTTATTTATTTTAATTCAAGACTAGTATTTTAGTTTAATTCTTGCGTTTCTAGATTAATTTTGTATATCCATTGCATTATTTAATTGTTTGGATTCCAATTAGATAATTAATTGCTTGTTATAGGAGACTCACAATAAGTTTTGACATATGTGCAATAGATGTGAGGAATAACATTTATCACTTGTGCAATCATATAGATAATCTAAAATTTAATGCATTCTAACTATTCTAATTCTAGTTAAGAATAGATTCAAGTCGTGGTTAGGATATAATTAATTTGTCTTGAAAAAGAAAGTTAAATACATTAACTTTGTCGATTGTCAAGAACGCATGAACTGAATTAGATTACAAATTAAGAATTGAAATAAATCACAATAAGCAGAGTCGAAATTCAATACATCCATTCATAATTTGATAAAAAAAATCAAACATTTCTTGCTTTCTTAGATTAATTTAGCAAAAATAAAATAAAAAATCTCTCTTTATTTCACATAATTCGAATTCCATACTTAATTAATAAACTTGAATTGAAATTTATTCTCTGTGGTGTGATACTTGTAACTTACTCAAATATATTATTTGTCAACGATCCCGTACGCCGGCGAATTTCATACAAACAATGGACAAGGTACAATAAAATAGCTAATTCTATTTTGACTGCTTAATGATGGCCTATGTGCCAGAAGGTGTGTGCCTTTCATTTATTATCATTTTTTATCCAATTACTTTTTATTTTTAAATAAACTAAATAATTAAATAAAAGAAAGAGTTAATAAATAAAAGGTAGGAAGTAAAAATTCACATCACAACACCTAAAATTTTTTTTTTTTAATTACACAATTTCTAATGCATTAATTTACTTATGGAAAATTGCAGCAGCGGTCTCTAACCTTTTCGTTTTTTCAGACTTTACCCTAACCTTCATTTTGTGTCAGCGAAGGTCCTTAACCTTTCATAAATATTCGCCTGAAATCTATCTGGATGGAAATCATTCAAAACACCGTCATTTGACCAAAAAAATTCCTTGAATCATCTAAGATCTCCACGGTTTTATTGGACGTTGATACCTTTTTTGATGGTATTTTTGGACATTTTATTGGATGCTGATTCCTCAATTTTTCGATCAACTAAGGTGTTTTGGACGGTTTCCGTCCAGATGAACTTCGGGTGCATATTTATGAAAGGTTAGAAACATTCACTGACACAAAATGAAAGTTAGGATAAAGTCTGCAAAAAATGAAAAGGTTATGGACCACTACTGCAAATTTTCCCTTTTATTTATTATGTCCTTAATTGATTTAGTTAAAACCATGCTTTTAATAAATGATAAAAGTTGATGAAATATATGATTAAAAAGTTGAAAACAGTTGTGGATCCAATGAAACTTATTGTTAAAGTTAATTGACTTTGACTTAAGTTTTTATCAACTTTGTCAACTAAACCAAATAGGGACTATATGGTCTTTAAATAATATTATTAGTGGAAAAAAAGTCTTATTACTTCTAGATGCCTTTTTTCTTAAAATACTTGTTCTTCTCATCTTGACACGATGCATTGCCCAGATATTTGCTTATGATAACATAATATTGTTGAGACTTGGTATTTGTACAGAAAATCCATACATACACTTTGATAAAATGGCACATGAAATTCAGCCATTGGTTTCTATTCCAATATCAATCATGTTACATGTACATCATTTTTTTCATGGTG